TGCGACAAACACGACCATCGACGCAGCACCATGTCTGCAGCTAACCACGAAATCAAAGACTCTTTGATTTCGTGTCAATTTTACATTCTTACATTTTTTAAAAATCTCACAAAACTACTACACATTCTTTACCATTTAGCAGATGCTAAAGTTGGTCAGAAACGATAAGGAATACGACTAACGGTTACCAAATGTAGCTAAGAATATACACATGCTGTGTAGAAAAGAATTAAAATGAACTTTCAAAAAAAGTGGCGTTTCTTGTCCGACCATTTTTGTCCAACTTTACTCTTGTCTTAACTTTTTACAGTGTGTTCCAGGCATCAGTTTCAACCGCCTCATGATGGACCTGGACATTCCTGTCTCCTGGGCTGAGTTTTAACATTGCTGCTGGATCAGAACCATTCAGAATCTACACTGACTGTGGAGCTGCAGCCGCCGAGGAGCGCAGCAAGAGTTTTCTTCTGCTGTTATTCAAAGCTAAACCAACACGTTCAGTGAAAGTCAACACAGCGGTGGAGCTGTGGCTTCAGGGGAGGAAGGATGAGAGGTACGGACACACTCATTCTCTCTCACACACACACATATATAAATACAAAATAAATTAATATGGAAATAAAAGACTGAAAGAGAAAATTGACACCACTTTCACGTCATGCAGTAAATATAAAAGTACAGCCGGCAGCCACGTTTCCTCCACTCACTTAACTTCTGCAACCTCCACTGTTACCTGGCAACTGCTCACAGCCAAGAACAAGTCTCTAAAAGTGACATTTTCACATAAATAAATGAGATTTAACTGGTTTCTGATGGAAAGATCATGTGATCACCTGATACTTCTTCTAACCTTTATTTCTAGTTCTACGCTGTAATTTTTTCTTCTTTGTCTTCTCTTCTTATCATACATCCTTCTCTTCTTGTTTAATACAACCGGCAACTTCTCTCCAAAAATGTTTTTATTTTAATGATGTAGTAGAAGTCTAGAAGAATATTTTGTGCCAACATTTCACTGCCTGCTAAGGTCACATTTTTGGCTAACTTTAAGCTTTGTCAGGATTGACTTTTACTTTCATTTTTACAAAAGAAAAAATAATTTTTCTAACTGAATTTTCCCTTATTGTCAGCCAACCATTTTTAAAAAGATTTTTTTTCCAACCTTTTGCTCTGTTTGCTTTGTGTGAATATTTTGTTAACATCTCAGTGGTTTAGATTTGTGAGAGTCAACATGTAGGTCTGTGCATGATCTCGATTTACTGGCATTTACAGTCCACTGGGATCCACTGTGGGAGTTTATACTGCTGTATAACAAGACCTCTGGGATACACAAACTACAGTAGATGATGTAAATGTATGTCACACTTTGGAAATAAAAAAATAAAGAATAACAAAAATCAAGAAACCAAAGGTAGAATTATCAAAATAAAACCCTGGTTCATATAAGATGATTACGTCGTACGTTTACGTCTTTTCTAACTTTGCTGACAGCCTCTAATCTTTGGTGCATTAAATCTTTATCATTCATATTTGATATTGTTACCAGGTTGACGACCATTGCTGTATTTTCTCTTAGCATTAAACACTTAGCAGCTGTGAATCTAGAGTTGAAGAAACAACGCAGCTTCTTTATGAACAAATAAACACTGAGATAAAACATTTAACAGCAGGTTTGCACGGCGCACAAACATTACATCAACATTATATCCATATATATTGGACTCCTTTGTCCTGGTCAACGCTGTAATAAGAAATCAACTTCATCAACTGCCAGCAAAGAACAGACCTGACTGATGTGGAACTGAACGAGTGCAAGAATAATAGTAGAGATCAAGAGGTCGTACTGGAAAACAATAAAGTTAATTCTCCCCCAAATAATAACTAATATTTCTGGTTCTGGATAACATTCAGCTTCAGTCTTACTTCAAGGTGTAAAGCACAAAAAAAGAGGAAATCCTAGTTGACCAAAACTTGCCCAAATAATAACTAATATTTCTGGTTCCAAAACTTAAGAAAATGTTGCTAAATCTGACCAAAAACACATAAGTGACACAAACTAAACCTTTAGCTGCTGTTTGTACGAGTCCAGCAAAAAAGACAAACAACCTGTGAACAGAATCTTCTCTTATTAGAGTCTCTCTCTCACACACAGCAGTAATCAGCAGGTGCCTCGTCAGCCTGCTTGTCTAATTGACTGACTTGATGAGTCACGTTCGTCCGCTCAACGTCACTTATCCTCACCAGAACAGAATGCACGGAGAGAGGAAGTAGGTGGAGGAGAAGTGGAGCAGGGAGTCAGAGGAGCAGAGACTCCAGGGTTTCCTCCAGACTTGTCTGCCAACCTGACGTATGGAGGTTATGTTATTCAATCTGACAGTGGGAGAAGGGGCCCAGGGAGCTACGGAGTGGATAATCAGGAGGAATGGTAGTGGGGGAAAGAGAGGAAGGCGGGGGGGGAGACCAAAGAGAGGGCAGATGGAGGGAGAAGGATGTTCTAGTAAATACTGTGGGGAGAAGTGGGATGAAGAGAGTGCAGGAGGGAAGAGGAGGAAGGAGCTGGATTTCAATTAGCCTATTTGAACGCTTGCTGCTGGCTGACTGACAGCTCATGAAGATTGTTCTGCCACACGAGCCTCACCCACTCACCAGTCTGTGCCTGACACACACACACACACACACACACACACACACTCGATAAAACACACACAGTAACACAACCTCTTTGTTTCCTGTCTTTACCCCTGCCACCTTTTTTTTTTCTTTCCACACCCACACACTGTTCTGCCTTTACTATCCACTACCATTTATCTTTTCTCATCCCACTCTTCATCCTCCTCCTCCTCAGTTTGTCTCCTGGATCACCTCACCCACCTTTGAACCACTTCACTTCCTGTTTCATCCCTTTGTCACCATATATTGTCTGGTACTCGTTCCAATAACTTCTGCTTTATTTCTCAGAATCCTAGCCTGTATGGCACTCCGCGCCCCCCCCCCCCCCCCCATGACACGGAGGACAGAGGTGCCGGACCCTCACATGTTGATGAATTCAATTCAATACAAATTAAAAACCCCAGGTTTGTGACTGACTTTATGTGACTCATCATTACAACTACTCTGGTGGAGGAACTTCTGGTCTGAGTCCAAAGCTGTACAACGACAGCAGGTTGGGGTCACCCATTACGGTACTAACTATACTCTGAGTGAACCAAAGAGTTGTTTTTTTTTGTGGATTTCATAGATGGCTGTTATTTCAAAGCCTTGACTGGCAGGAGATCCAGACGTTACTTGGCTTTTCTGCATTGCTTTTCCCCAGTAACTCAACAATTGTCATTCAAAGGTGAGGGGGAAACCCCACAACTGTTCAGCCACGTAAGGGGGGGGGAGGGGGGGGGGGGGGGCAGAGGTTCAGAAAGATAGAACTAAAGACAGAGGGTGGGAGTGAGTGAGTGAGAGAGAGAGAGGGAGATGGGGGGGCACAGGGGGAGTTAAGGACTTTTCCAAAAAGACAAATTTTCTGGGAGTTAAGGACTTTTCCAAAAAGACACATTTTCTATATATGTGTATAAACACATACACACAAACAACACACACAGCCCTTTAAGTGTATACTGTATATGTGAGCAGAAACATAATCACAAAATCAAGCACGTGCAAGCAAACACACACACACACACACACACAGAGGGGCTGTAGTTTACCATATGATCAATAGTTATTGATCTGGCACCTTTGGCGTGACTTGCCAGTGCTTCATGTTAGACATAAAAATGTCCACACCCACCAGGATAGAGACATATGGCATGTGCGTGCACACACACACACACAAAGAGAGACATACTCACACACATCTCTACCTTTTTTTTAAATCACAAATGTACTAAAATACTTCCAATCCTCATCTAAACATTTTGTGACTTTACCAGATCTGAACCAACAACCATCACAGAGACAGATGTAAAAGTACACACCGATACGTTTGGATTCTTCAGACAAATTCTCCACCTCCTCACCTCTGTAACACATCGTCAGCCACAGCAGCTCCAGCACCTGACCCCCAAACTCACAGGCGTCCAGTCCCAGCATCGTGCCTCAGTGTGGGGCAGCACTCTGAGCGACAGATGGCAGAATGAGAACCAGGGGAGGAGAGGAAACGGGGAACCTCCACAGGTAGCAGTCGACCACGCAGGAGAGCAGGGATGAATGGGAGCAGGGAGAGCATCCACAAAAGTGCTGGACTGGAGAGAAACGGGGTCAGACGAGCATCTCCACCCCAGAGGAGGAAGACGAGATGTAGTTGGAGGGGCTTAGGAAGGAGGCGGGAGGGGGTAAGTGAGGAGAAGAAGGAGCGGTGTGTGAGTGTGAGAGAGAGAGAGAGAGAGAGAGAGAGGTGAGTGGGTAGAGGCAGCAGACAGTAGCAGCAGCCGGCTTCAACACTTCTTCTTCTTCTTCTTCTTGTGTTTCCTTCTGTTCAGTGCAGCTCAGTGACAAGAGGAGATAAAACTGAAGATCCTCAGATGCTTCAACTTATCTGTCAGCTGTTTCTGTTCAGCCGGAGATGCTGAAGCTGAAAACGACAGCAGGCAGATGTTGGTGTGCGTTTGTGTGAGTGTGTCTGGCTATCGATTCGCCGGCAAGCACTGAGAACCCCTCCCTCCACATCCCTCCCCCATCCCTCTCCCTCCTCCTCATGTCATCAGCCCAGAGACTGCAATGAGCTCATCCTTTACCCCCCCTCCTTCCCTCCCTCCCTCCCTCTCTCTGCCTCTCCCTCATTCACTCTTTCTTGCCTCTCCGCTGCTCCTTCTCCATTCCACATTCCTTCTAACACCTCTTTACGCCTGGAAACTCTTTCATGCTTTTATTTTCCCCTCTCCTTATTTTTTTATCACTTTCACAAATTCCCCCGTGGCGTCTCCACTCTGCCTCCCCCTATTTATCACGGTGTCCAGCCATCTCCCCTCCTCTCTCTCTCTCTTCTTCATTCTCCCACCCACCTCCTCCTTCTCCTCGTCTTCTTCTTTAGTCTTCTCATCTTATAGTGACCACACCCTGTCAGCAGCAGGCTTCAGTGATGCTTCAGCTCTCAGAATAATCCCCCCTCACTCTGTTGTCATGTTTTACTTTGGTTGCTGTGTTTTCTCTCCTTTTTGTTACATTAGGAGAAAGTGTTGAAGTGCAGAATACAAAAGAGGCTGATGCTTCTTCCACTTGACGATCAGTCACACACTAACTTCATCTGTCATTCAGAGGTTGTTCTGCTCTCATGTTGCGTGATAAAGGCGACAACGTCTCCTTTTCTTCATGTCTTACTCCCCCAAAAATTACAACAAATCCTATACATATATATCTATAGATACATATTATTGACCCTCATATACTGTAGACTGTCTGCATACGATACAAAACCATTTGGAAATAATATAGACCTATTATAGTTCTTTTTAAAAAAAATTTAAAAAATGTTGGTGCCACATGGTGGCACTGTGGTTGTTCCTGTTGCCTCACAGCACTTAGGTTACTAAGGATTAGCCAGAACCCCCACTCACCCTGAAACTCATACAAATTAGCTGCAAAAAGAAATGCAGATTAACCTAAACAAATGTAGAATGACATCAGAACAAATAGATCAACTAAAAAAAGCAGCAACACAAAAATAAAATAACAAAAAATGATGCTGGACACAACACAGATTACCTGCAAAAATATGCAAAATACCAAAAAAAAAAGAGAAAAAAAACAACAACCTGCAAAAATATGCAAAATACCAAAAGCAAAAAGAAAAAAAAAACGCTGATTAATTTGGAGAAACTCCCCAGTAAAACACAGAATCAAGAAATGACTTCTGGGAGGAAACTAGTCCAGAACAGTGTGTGGATTACAGCTGTGGTGACCATCAATGAAGGGAAAACCATTAAGGTGGGTCTTCTGTAACTGTAGAAATTTAAATTTAATACACTGTGTAACCATCACTTCAAGGGAACATCGGCTTTAATGGCTCCAAGTGAATTTTATTTGGTGGCAAATGATCCAAAAATGGTTCTTTCGATAGTCAAGGTTGCAGACTGCTGTACTAAGGACTTTGTAGGTGACTGAACCTGGAGTTCAGTCACTGTAGATAACACTGGTGGTGATGTGGCGTCAAGGATGTGTGGATAAGAACACTTACCTGGCAACACTGGACCTGGTCCAGGACTTTACAGGATCCTGTACCGGACTCGTGTCGTGGATACTGTTGTCCAGGGAGGTGATGATGGACGGGTTGATCATCATCTGAGATGCAAGACAAAGAAGATTTGATTTCAATGAAAGACCTAATCAGAAACTGATGAAGCAGCCAATCAGCACTGCGCGGATAATCTCTCAGATTAAAAAAAGGAAATCAAGGCCATTTTTTAGAAAACAGGTCACGTAGGACTGAGGACCCTCCCTCCATTATAAAACCATCCAACACTGGCAAAAAAATTCAATTTAATTTTAACGATTCTAAATAAAGTCAATTATTTAAGATTGTTGCCTTTTCCCGTCCCATCACGAGTGTCAGCGTCAGCAACGACTCTTCCTCACGTTTGTCCTAAAGCAGAGCCATCAACCCATTATACTCATACTGCTTTATGGAAATATAAATCAGTGGCAGCAGTGGTCCCCAGTGGGACGAGCGGCATCTATAAAATTTGTGCTTGAACAAGGCAGCCATGAATGGTGTCATAAAATGAACCTCACCGAAAGGAGCCCCCTGGGGGCAGCCGTGCACACTAGTTTTTTTTCTTCACAAAGAGGAAAATTTGGATAAAAGCACCAAAGGGACGGCGCAGCGTGCTTAACTTTACAGACTAGACTTCCTTATCAAACGAGATTTTAATTCAAAGCACCAGGATTTGATTGTAAACACAAGTAAGTAAGATTTAAGTTACACCTTTGGTTAGGAGAAAAAACTGTCAGTGTACCAGGAGGTGTAGAGCAGAAAGAGAAGAATATTTCAGGAAGTAAGTCTTTAAATAAAAAAAAGAAAATAAGAAATCCGACTGGACCCTTGAGCAATGGGAGAGGATTTCAGATTGATGAGAATCAGGGAATACGATTTACCCAAAAATGTGTTTTCTCTCTTTACATTGTATTCTTTTTTTAAATAGAATTGGAACAATTCAAGAACATCATGCCAGGATTCTTTTGAAATTAAATGTGTCAGCATTTCTAGGCAGCATGAGTCAGCACTTTTAAACATAGACTAAATTAAAATGTTTCCACAATTAACACACAACCTGGACTACAAAAAGATGACAGTGGAGATGAATTACAAATGGCTGTAGAAACAATGAGCATGCCACTTTTTTCTTCTTTGTTTTTTTTTTTCAAGCCGATCCGTGTAGTTGTGCTTCTTAAATGAGGTTCTGCTTTTATTGCAGCTTTTATTTGGCACGTCCTGTGTTTCTCATTATTTCCAAAAAACACCTCCAGTCAAATCTTATTTAATGAAAAAGAAAAAAAATAATCTCCCACTCAGCTGTGGGTGCGAGGTTTTATATGAGCTGTTGAAAAGCAGGACAAAACAATTATCATCCAGCAGCACATCTCAAAATCTAATTAATGAACTGATATCACATGGACCCGCAAATTTAATCTGCAGTAACGTGGAAAGTTATTCTATTAAGCTGTGGGGACACGAGCGAAGTAATTGCCTTTACACCCACTCCCACACACAGAGAGTGAGAGACAGTATGTAAACTATACACCTGGGGTGTGCGTATAAGCAGTGTCTAATGGTTTTCTGACAGCTCGCCGTGTGGGGAGCATTTATGGCTGCTGTGTGTGCAGCGAATGACCCGGCTCGCGTGGAGGCCATCCATCCATAACCGCCTGATTTAAGCGGACTGTGAGTCACTGAAGAAACCTGCGCCCTAATTCTCCGAGCGGATGAATAATAATTCAGCGAGATAAAGGTAGTCGCCGGGCAGGGAGACGTGAATAAATACAAACAGTGTTTGTCAAGTGATGAATGAATGAAGTCAGGGCGTAGCATAAGCTAAATAGACGATACATCATAAGTGAAACATTCGGTAACTCCCCAGTGATTTATCATAGCAACAAGGGAACGGTCTGCTCTTGTCATCCCTGCTTGTTGCTCGACAACAAATGGCTCCAATAATGGAAACTGTCCGTTATTGACACCTTTATTTCCAAGCATTAAGTCAATCAAGTCTGATGAAATGCTTATTTACATAGGCCGAGAATCGCAGCCAAAAAGATTTTAGGTTATTAATAAATATGAATCGATAAAAAAAAAAAAAATTCTGGGGGCGTACTATTGTTTGCGGCCTACGGTCTTTTTCATGCACTTGGTATTAATAAATATGAATCGATAAAAAAACTGATTTTTTTTCTGGGGGCGTACTATTGTTTGCAGCCTACAGTCTTTTTCATGCACTTGCGGTCTGATACGGAGCCCTTAAAGGGCGAATGGGAAAAAAATAAATAAACGTTTATGGTTCTCACTTGTAAGTTTCAGGTGAGCACGTGAAACTTTCAGGTGCGTACTAAATAGAACCCGGACCTACTTGGTGAACATAGAGCTTTTAAAAACTAAAATAACGCTCGTAACGGCTTTAGCCTAGCTTCATGGCTAGGCTAAGGCTCAGTTAGCACAGCGCAAAAAATAACCTATAATAATTAACTAATTAATAGGTGAGTTGATGTTTCATGTTCCCTGTGAATTATTTCCCTGTTTCGTTGTTATGGATAATGTAATTATTATATTATATTCTGAAGTCTGAAATCGATCTACTCACAAAAACTTTCCACGGACTATTACCTGCTGCTGAAGAAGAAACGGCGGTAGAATAAATA